AAAAAAAAAAACTACCAGTATCTTTGTTCCCATGAATGTATGGCTATGTTTTGAAATTTAATCACCCTCTAGAGTGCAAGAATTGGTTGGATGTGTCTTCCATCTTTTCTTCTGTTTGATCTATGTTTCTAACTTTTTATTTTACGCAGGAAAACTAAGGACGATGTAAGAATTTTTTGAAAGAAACATGATTGGTGCACACTTCACTGTATTACATTGTTGTTACATACTCTTTTTTCCGTTGACTTTCGTTAACTCCCACATTCTGTTAGTTTCTATCTTCACCAGATCCATCTTTCTCCTCACCTCCATTCTCATCCTCATCCTGATCATCTGTAGGACAATTGCCAACCATCCCAAACCAAACACCCATTCGATGGGAGGGATCCCACACACAAGATTAGCTTTGATCATCTCCCTCGCAACCTCTCCAAAAACTCCTCTATCCAGAAGGTTACCTAAGTCAAAAATCAATTCCCAATTCCAGCACTAGACCCCTTGTCCGAGCCACACTCCTTCGCCGAGTAAAAACTCCAACAAGAATCAGAAGTCAATCTGGGTTCTTGTAGAACCCAGATCGAAGCGAGGAAGAAAAGGAAGAATTGGGGCAAGCATTGTGTGACGGAGGGTGTGATGACCGAGTGTGCATATATCATTTTCCTTTTTGAAAGCATTGGGCAAGCATTGTGTACTATTGAAGATGACTGATAAACTTGAAGATCCAGTTTCTCTAGATGAGGAAATTAGCTTGGAAGCTGAGGAAACAGTAGGTGAATTTGAATTTGTGATTTTTCTACATGAGGAAATTAGCTTGGAAGCTGGGGTAGGTGAAACTGAATTTGTGGGGGGGTAAAAGGCTTTGTTCTTGTTCAACTACATCTGGAAGCCGTTCTAACAAGGTTTACAAGGTTTCCAAGGAAGATATGATGGACAAGTTCAAGGAATGCATGATCTATACCTTAGCTGCAAAGGAAAGGTTTTATAAAGCCATAGCTGATAGATATAGGACTGCTGGTACTGCTATTTCATCTGATGATCGCTTTTCTATTTTGGAGTGCATACGTATTTTACAAATCATGAAAGGTATTTCTTATTCTACAGCAAGAGAAGCTATTACTGCATTCAAGAATTCTCTATAGGATAGGCAGATTTTTGTCTCATGAAGCCCGAATGGAGAAAGAATTGGGTGGAAGACCTTGATCAATGAAGTGCATTCAATGTTGTGTTTGTTTAGTTTGCATTAAATGATCATCTAACTTTCATGGACATTAGAATTGCTTAGTTTGCTTTTGATCTTGAGTTGAATAGTTTGAACCTTGTGGTGCTATGTGTTTTTGTGTAGTTTGCATGCAATGATTTATGAACACTGAGTTTATGAACTGTTTAGTTTGTTTTTGATCTATTAGTTGTTTAGTTTTTTTAATAGGAGCTATTTCCAATGGTCTTATATTTGTATTTGTTTTTCCATTTTAATTTTTAAATTTGTTTGTTTGTTGGTTTATTTATTTATTTATTTTTTATAATTATAATGAAGATGTTTTGAGTGAGGAAAATATGTAACTAAAACCTTACAAGCTGAGTCCAAAAATGAGGAAGAAATGTGATGAGGGAATTAATGATTTGAATGAGGAAAATAATGCAAGGTATTAACTTAAACATCCATCTATGCCAATTCACAAGATACCATACCACATTCTCTGTTTTGTATGATTGCACAAATCTAAACTTAAAAAACCAAGCATAGTTTTTCTTTTCTTTTCTTTTCTTTTTTAATTAGAAATGGGCGTCACTCAATTTAACACAAACAAATCAAAATAAATTTCCTCTTTAAAATTCATTCTTTGTTTACATTAGCTCCACCGACCTCTTGGTTTCATCTGTACTGACATCATAGCATTCTAAGCTCATCAAATCAAACATTCAACAACTATCACCCAACATTCTTGCGCCCATGGCATCATTATCCAATCAAACCTGCATAAAACGACGCCTAAATCATATTTAGAATGACAATGATTTGCTGACATTGTTTATTGACAACAAGAAGAGTGCTAAGGATACTCTTTCTAACATTTTCTTTTGAACACTTTCCATGTAATCGAGTTACATAAAACATAAATTTAATATGATTGGTGATTAATTATTAAAATTAAAGTTTATTATTTTTAAAATTTAAAATTATAACCATTTAGATTAAATTTAGATTACATGTGTTTCAATCACATAAAAAGTATTCAAAAAAGAGTGTCATAGAGAGTGCCTTTAGCATTCCCCTTGATGACAAATGCTTACGTCTAAAAATACTAACAATTACATGCTTATATACATAATGATAATAAACCGAAGGAAGTGGGGGCTTTACCTTAATTTTTGATCAGCAATGTAGTCCATTTGGGACCTATCATTCAGTAGTAGAGAATCTTTGTCAATTTTGGGGTTCCTGATTAGTAGCATGGAAGAATGGATCATAACCATCACCCTTCTTCAGACCACCATCAGCATCACAGTTATCCATAATCTGTAAAATACGTGCAGGGACTAAGCCATCCTTGTCATGCTTTCCACCCATTTCTATGTCAAATTTCTCTTTGGAACTAATGAAACCTCCAGCATAATCTCGAAAACTGGAAATTACTGACTGATCATCGTATTCTGTAGTCCATGCTCGAAATTTGATCATTGCTGGAGGCAATTTGGAGAAGAACAGCTCCCTGAAGTTCCCTGATATGCCTTTATTAAAGGGATTTTCCATCTTATCATACCGGTATCTGAAATTCTCATAAGTTGTCTGAAAGTACAAAGACAAGAATGGAGGTTCAGTGGAACAGAAGTTGTTCTGGTGCTAACAAACACATAACAATGAAAACTTTTAAGTTCAGTAAGAAGAATACCTGGTTGGTGCAAATTAGGTACATATGGAAAACTGTAAGCCCACCAACAAACCAGATGGCAATGAAGCAATATATTACTAGTATAACTGATGGTATATCGCGTCGCATAACACCCCACAAACTGCCTGGTCGACGAAGAAGGTTTAACCAAGAGCACCCAAAGACATATGTGCACAACAAAGATGATATTGTTATAAAACCTATGAAGGATGCATAGTTGCGCTGCAAACGAGTGAAAGATGTAAAGGATATTGGAAGAATTGTTATCAACAGTAGGTTAATGTTAACAAAGCTTGACAGTAGGTCTAGATAACTTACTTGTCCAATACACTGGCCCACCCATGGACAGTGATGGTCAAATCTCTGCACACGGTTGTTACAGATTGAGCAATGTGAAGCTCGTGGAGGACGATACAGCAAGCAAGTTTCACAAAACTTAACTTTAATTGTGTGTCCATTGACAATTACATCCTTCATCCGTGGTATTTTCAAATAAGGAGTTCTATTATTGGATCAATCCATTGATGGGATACTGGAAAGTGCTTCCTCTTTAGGGAACTGTGAATTCCTAGGAATTATTCCTGGATCTCTGGTAGATGTCATATACAGAGATGTAAAATCTTGCAAACAGCATCAAGAAGAAGTGAGGTATAAAATCGATTACTAAAACAAGCTCAAATTATATGAGGAAATTTAGCTATGTTTTACCAACCAAGATAGTAACAATCCCCCAAACAAAACTCGATAATCAAAAAGTGGATTCTCTTCTTTAAAAATCACGAGCATCTTTATGCGGAATGCTATTGCAGGACATCCAATTAGAAACACAGTTAAATAAAGCAAACCTGCATCGGGGCCACAGACCATTCTCCCACCACAACCAAATTTCTATAATGCAAGCAAGAGAACAGTTATAAATAGTCCATAGCTGATAACAAATGCACCTCTCACAGGTTGGGAATTTCATATCAGCGACAAGTTCCATACATGTCTAGAATCCATAACTGTTAGCAGAAAGCAAAGGATCAAAAACCCCTGAAATTAGTTTAAATTGGATTTTACATATTTACTAATTAACTATGTGCCACTAAGAAGAAAAATGCGCTCATTATGTTATATTTATCTTTCTCAGAATACGAAAGTTTGTTGTTTTTGTTTCTTACTGCATGAATTCCTCTTTCAGATACCTCCCAAGCAGCTTCAAAATGCACGGAGGATGGAACTCCAGGCAATGAAAAGTAAGGAACGATCAAATGCAAACTAAATCAAGGAGCAATAAATGAAGATGAAACATGTAATTAATCACAAACAATTGTTCATTTGATTCAAATTTGCATTATTCATTCTAGGCAATTCATGTTCCAATTCTTTGCTAAGTTCAGCATTTTATATTAATAGAATTAAAGCAACTAATTTGCTTTTTTTTCTTTATAGTAGAAATAAATTTATTTATCAATAATAGAAAAACATAAGAGTTATAGGCTAATTCATATGATGTAATGTACTAGAGACATTAGAAAACCTAAACTTAAAAATGTAAAACACTTAGTTAAGCATTTAATTATAGAGCAATTTAATAGTTATATAGATATTATAACTGAATCAGGTTTTGGTTTGACAATGAATCAAGTTAATATAATCTACCATAACCAAAAAATAAAAAGATAATTGTTGAAATTTTACATTATTAAAAAACATTCCACTATAACACAACACTTACCAATCATATTTCTTGCTCTAAACTTTTATTTAAGAAGACATAAAATGATAATAAAACTCACACAAATTATTTTAAAAAAAATAAATTCACCCATAAGACAATTTAAAAAGAGAAACAAGAACCTTAATTAGAAAAAACTTAAAGATTAAAATCAAATATAAAATCATGAGAAAAAGAAGAAGAAACGAAGAATCAAAAAGAGAAAAAGGGGAAGAAAGGATGGAAAGTAGGAGGGAGGAGCTCCTTTTTGTCCGTATCTAATTAACTATTGTTTAAATCTCATTTTGCTCGCAAAACTTTTGTGCAAAACCCCTTTTTGATTTTTAAACTAAAAAAAAAATAATTTGATTTTGTTTCCTTAAAAATCCTCAAGTGATTTTGCACATGCAAAATTTAGATACGAGCATGCCACTTAACTTTCTAAAAAAAGCAAGAAATGAGGATTTTCCTAACGACCATCTTCTTTCACGTGGTTGATTTCCGTTAGGATGGCTGAAAGAATATTGCTTTAAGATTGAGTTCTGCACCTTCAAACGATTTGCAAGAGGGAGGAATGCTTTCTTAAGGAATGAATTACTAATCTGCCTTAGACAATCCTAAGAACTTTACCAATATCGTGAATTTAAAGTTAACAGATCTTAAATGAATTGAATGAAATGTAAATAAGAGTAAACTTGATGTTCATTGCACTAAAAGAAATTGAAGAAGTAATTGCATGAATTAATTAGGCTATTTGAATACTGAAAACAATCTAAATCTATTGGAATTTGTGTTGAAAACTAAAATCTATAAGCTAAAGTAGTGAGTAATCACTGAGAAATTAAAAGTCTAAAAATTTGTTATGTGTAGAACTGGTCGTCGTGTCTTGAATAATTTGAAACTTTCTTTTTATATGCTTCCTGTGATTTGTCCTCTAGTTTCACTCACTGGCTGTTACAGATCATGGATAACTTCCCAAAGAAAATAAACACATCAACAAGATCAGGTCAAGGCTGCATTAGATTTTGCCATTTGTACTATTCTACTGTTACCTCAACCCCTTAACTGCATTTTCTCTTACATTATAGGAATTTTCATTTCTTTTGAATTTAAACTGCAACCTACTAGATAATCTTCACCGTTCTCCAAAATCAATTTTTACATATCTAAATCTCAACAGTAAATCTGATATGAACTCACCTTATCTATTAACATATGGTATCACTTAAAAAATTACAATTTAAGATGTAAACAGGTTCCTAAAGTTATATATATATATATATATATTGCTCTTATTAATCATTTCATTTAAGACATAAACAGATTCTTAAAGTTTAATATATATATTGCTCTTATTAATCATTTCATTGAGTTTTTGCTTACATGATATATAATTAATAACAGCTTAAACTGTCCTTTTGTTTAAATTAATGATGCTAAAATTCTACAAAGTTTAGTTATGTGGACAAAATTTGTTGTTACCATTGACTTTAATTACAAAATTGCCATTAATAATAGTTAAATTGAAATTATATTGAATATTCAAAATTACCTAATACTCCTTGTTTTGTTCCCCAAAACTTATCCTTCCTCGTCCTCCCATCCCAAGCCCAATTTCCCTCTTCTCCAAGCTCCTCCATCATAGTCCACAAATTCTCACACTGATTTCCTCTAATTCTTATATCTCCAAGTCAAAAACAAATCATTGTCTTTCAACAGAAACTTGTTTGGCCTCATTACAAGAAAAGAAATAATCAAAATTTTCCAAGAACCCATCAAAGTTTCCTTCGATTCTTTCGCCTTTTAGAAATTAGAGCTAGTGGTGTACAATTTTGGAAGAATCTAGACAGAGAACTGCGGTGGGAGTCCTAGAAATATTTTGATAACTGCCTCTAAAACGGTTGTTAGTCCCCGAAAATGAAAGCAGCAAACTCACCGTCCGTCTTCTCTCTTTCTTTGCGGGTTTCAAACATTAGATTGAGAGCAGCAATTGCAGATTTCATAGTGCAGTTTCCTTTTGGAGCTGATCGTATATTAGCTTCTAATATAGTTGCTTCAATTTTGGATCTTTAAGTTCTGAATGCGAACAGTGAAGACCCAGATCCAGCACCGTCTCCAACTCTGCTACAAAATATGTTGATAGAGTCCCACATGGGAAGTGAGAACGCAGTTAAGGTACTCTATATATTGTGTTCCGTGCTGCAACTTACTGATTTTTTAAATTATTAAATTGTTCAAACAAATCCTTCATGGCCTTATTTTGACTACGAAGTACTGCCGTGAAGTTGGTGTCCGTAGAATTTAGTATGTTTGAATAATCCAAAAGAGTTGATGG